GCATTGTGGCAAAATCGGTCATCTACGGTATCAATGTCACTCTCGGCAAAAGACTTTAGAAAGATGTTATGATCATGTTAGATATTCCTCAAACAAATACAAAATGGAACCCAAGCAAGTCTGGGTTCCACGCGCTAACCCTTAATCCTGGAACAGCGCCGAGTGAGGGGGAACAATCACTAGTTCCTTGACAGTGGTTGTTCTAAGCACATGACGGGAGACAAATCTTTATTCCTCTCACTACGGCCATTTAGCGGTGGAAAGGTGACATTTGGAGACAACGGCAAAGGAGAGATCATAGCCGTGGGCAAAGTTGGAAAGTCACCTAGCCATGCTATTGATAATGTATTTTTAGTCAAGGGTTTGAAATTTAACTTACTAAGTATTTCTCAATTTTGTGATCGAGGTAATAGTGTTGTTTTTGATCATAATGTTTGTCGCATTGTTAATAACGAATCACAACAAGTTATACTTGAAGGCAAGAGGCTCGAAAATACATATAAAGTAGATCTTGATTCATTGCCTAATATTAGTATGACTTGTTTGAGCGTTATTGATAACGATCCTTTGCTATGGCATAAAAGGCTTGGACACGCTAGTTTTTCATTAATAAATAAACTTAAAAATAATGATTTAGTTATTGGACTGCCAAACATGAAATTTTCACTTGACCATGTTTGCTCGGCTTGTGCCACCGGAAAACAATCTCGATCATCTTTTAAAACAAAGAATTTGGTGAGCACAAGCAAGCCCATAGAACTAATACACATGGATTTGTGTGGTCCAATGTCAGTCCGTAGCCGAGGAAACAAAGAATATGTTCTGGTTATTGTTGATGACTTTTCAAGATTTACATGGACTATCTTTCTTGCTAGCAAGAAAGATACTTTTAATGAGTTTGCTATTTTTGTAAGGAAAATTGAGCATCAAACAGGTCTACGACTAATCAAGATCCGATCGGATCATGGAACTGAGTTTGACAATTCTCTCTTCGATGCCTTCTGCAAAGAACGAGGGATAGACCACAACTTCTCCGCACCTAGAACTCCACAACAGAACGGAGTGGTAGAACGGAAGAATAGAACTCTGGAGGACATGACTAGAACTATGCTGATTTCCAGCGGTCTAGCTAGGAGTTTTTGGGCAGAGGCTCTAAACACAGCATGCTACATCATTAATCGAGCCATGATACGTCCACTTCTAGGGAAAACACCCTACGAACTGCTCAAGGGGAGGAAGCCCAACATAAGTCATCTAAGAACTTTTGGGTGCAAATGTTTTGTCCACAACAATGGGAAAGACAACATCGGCAAATTTGATGCTAGAAGTGACGAGGCAATCTTTCTCGGATATTCCCCACATAGCAAGGCCTACAAAGTTCTAAACAAACGCACACAATGTGTGGAGGAAAGCATCCATGTAATCTTTGATGAAGCACTTGCCCCAAAATCAATCCAAGCCGATGATGGTGAGCTAGGGATCACTCGCAAGAAATCACAATCTCAAGGAGATGAAGGAATTGACAATCAAACTGGTGAACCACCTCTAACAAATGAAAATGAACAATCTGGAACTGAAGAAGAACCTGGACAGAACACTGACACTGAACCTGTAGAACCGGTAGAACCAGTTTCAGATACTCTCAACAACTTGGTGGACCAACCCAACGCTCCTAGGGGTTGGAAGCTTCATAGATCACATCCGCTGGATAATCTCCTCACCGATCTAAATCAGGGAGTAACAACTAGATCTAAACTTAAAAACTTTTGTGCTTTCTCTGCTTATTTATCTCTCATAGAACCGGAGAACCATGAAGTGGCTCTCTCCGACACTGACTGGGTTCTAGCCATGCAGGAAGAACTAAATCAGTTTGAAAGAAATAAAGTGTGGCATCTAGAACCGAGACCCAAGAACAAGACTGTGATAGGTCTCAAATGGGTATTCAAGAACAAGCTTGATGAACATGGCCAAATTACAAGAAACAAAGCTAGGCTTGTTGTCAAAGGCTATAACCAACAAGAAGGAATAGATTTCAACGAAACATTTGCACCGGTGGCTAGATTAGAAGCAATCCGAATGCTCATTGCATTTGCGTCTCATATGGGTTTCACCCTCCACCAAATGGATGTCAAGACGGCCTTCTTGAATGGATATCTAAAGGAAGAGGTATATGTAGAACAACCACCGGGCTTTGAAAATCAAGATTTTCCTAATCATGTTTTCAAATTAGATAAAGCACTTTATGGCCTCAAACAAGCACCTCGTGCTTGGTATGAACGCCTATCTAAATTTCTTTTGGAAAATGGTTTTGAAAGAGGAAAAATAGATAAAACTCTTTTTATAAAAATAAAAAATCAAGCCCTATTGGTTGTTCAAGTTTATGTTGATGATATTATTTTTGGTGCTACTAACGATTCCCTTTGTGAAGAATTTTCAAATCTTATGAGTTCCGAATTTGAGATGAGTATGATGGGGGAACTTAACTTCTTCCTTGGTCTACAAATCAAGCAAACAAGTAAAGGAACTCAAATATCTCAACAAAAGTACCTCAAGGAACTCCTAAAGAAGTACGGGATGAGTGAAGGCAAAACCATGACTACACCTATGGGGACTAATGATAGGCTGGACTCGGATGAACATGGAAAAAACATAGACCAAAAGATGTATAGAGGAATGATTGGGTCTCTACTATACCTAACTGCCAGTAGACCCGACATAGTTTTCAGCGTAGGTCTATGTGCACGGTTCCAGACCAATCCCAAGGAGTCCCATCTCAAAGCGGTGAAGAGGATTCTCAAATACCTCAAAGGAACTACTAATCTATGTTTATGGTATCCTCGTAATGATAATTTTAACCTTATTGCATATTCAGACTCTGATTTTGCAGGTGATTTGCTAAATAGAAAGAGTACGTCTGGAACGGCTCACTTCCTAGGTCCCTGTCTAGTTTCTTGGAGCTCAAAGAAACAAAATTCAGTTGCTCTTTCAACAGCCGAAGCTGAGTATGTAGCAGCCGCATCTTGTTGCTCTCAATCATTGTGGATCATGCAACAAGTAAGCGATTACGGGGTTGATTTAAAGTGCACGCCCATCCTATGCGATAATACAAGTGCAATAAGCATATCAAAGGACCCGGTCATGCATTCTCGGACAAAACATATTCATATACGACATCATTTTCTGAGAGATTGCGTGGAAAAGGGAATAATCAGGCTGGAATATTGCAACACCGAGAAACAAATAGCTGATATCTTTACCAAGCCTCTGGGAAGAGAAAGGTTTGAAATAATTAGACTGGAACTCGGTCTAATTAATTCCTAATTTAATTGTTCTACTTCTCATTTCCTAAATTGTATCACTGGTACTAATCTTTTTCACTAGTCGCGAAGAAAGCATGCAGGATCTTCCGGCCTCATCTAAGGGGGAACAAATCGATATTTTAATTTGGGCATTATTTTGGTTCCTTTTGTTGAATGACAAAAGGGGGAAAAATCTGGGTGCCCTCGGTGCGTTGATGTTCTACTATAATTGTTACTAATCTGCAGGGACACCTTCACTATGGCACCTAATGTTTGTCATCAACAAAAAGGGGGAATTTGTTGAGTATGTGGTTTTGTTGATGACTAACCATGCAGGTGGAACAAGGGACAGAACCGCTCCCAGTTCCTTAAGGAACCAAGGACAAGACTATCCTCAGGTCCAAATGGACATTATTATTGTATTGTTGACTAACCATGCAGGTGGAACTAATACTGAACCATATCTAGTTCCGTGATATGGTTTGAATTAATATTGATTACACCTACTTGATTACACCAAATAATATATACGTAATTTGCATTTGAGTGGTCATTTGGGTGATTATTATCTTTCCATACTTAAATATTGTTTAAATACTTTATGGAAAGTATCTTTACTTAATGTGAGTGTATGGTGCATATTTTATTGATAATATACGTAAAATGCTAAGTACTCACTTTAAGTTTGAAAAAGTAATCCTTAGTGGAAATATTAATTAAATATCCTTAGGATCTTAATTAATGAGTGCATCCACTTAGAAAGGAAATTTCTTTTAAAAAATAAAAGGGTCCATATTAATGCCGTTGCATGATTACTTTTATATGTTAATACCTTTTTGATATTTGACCAAAGCTTTTGGAAAATATAAAAAGGTTTTCTTACCTAATATGCCAAACAAAATAATATCGGATTGATTGACTAAGCTTGTGTTTGGTTTGAGCAAGGCCTTAATACTTCTTGCCATAATTTGTCATTTGTGATTAATTGCTCTAATATATAATTCGAATAAATTGATAGCTCTTTAAAAGGTAACCCATCATCTTCTTGCTTTGAAAAGGTGCAAATATATTATTTCCGTATAAGGTGTTGCTTGAATATATTCCAGATATGCACCTTTGTATTACAAAATATTCTTGAGATCTTTTACTTTGACCAACGTATAAGTAATGTCATGCAAGGAAGGTATTTCAAATTTATCATGGCAAGTCCAAGCATTCAAGAAAGCCAACGAACGATGCTATATAATGGACTGAAGAGTATGCTAACGAGTGGAGTGCTGAACCGAGAAAAATATTTAGAAGAATCATTCAAGAAAAGGATCAAGTCCTTGGCGTCTGAAACTGCCCGCTCGGAGTTCTAGATAGAGTTTCTCTTTTCCCTTTCATATTGTACTTGGAATATTGAGGCTTAATTGGCTAGAGTAGCTGCCTCGGGTTAAGTGTGTGTGAGAGCTTTGTGATAAAGCTGAGAGGCTCTCTACCCGCAAGGTAGAGATGCATAACTCTTCCTAGAGAGGATAGAGTTGGGGAGGCTCAAGGGTAGATTAGGAGAATCACTCTTGTAACTCTTTCAAAGGCTTGTTTAGTGAAGTTGTTTAAAATTCCTCCGAGGGAGGTCGAGGTTTTTTAATCCCTTTGAGCCAAGGGATTTTTCCTCGTTAAATTCTCGTGCACTTTACTATTTCGCAATTCCCTTTATCCCACACTAGAACTCGGCGAAAAACTGCCACGGTTCCACACACACACAATTCACCCCCCCTCTTGTGTTGCTAACCGTTTTCATCATTATACGTAGTAATTGATCTTGAATTCATTGGGAGCTAGGCGCTACATACATGATACATGGTGTGTTTATGTATATACGTATATAATTAATTATTTATTATTTAATTATTATATATAGGGGGCATGCATTGATGAATATACGCCTCATGATGATATGTGACAGCTTATTAGGACAACGACAGTAATGGCGGCAACCATTGGTCGCCATTGATGAATGACACATTGAGGAAAGGAAGAGCTTGCGAGTCATTCAGATTCTGAGCATATGCCACTCTCACTGTAGTATTGGATCCTGCTCCTGAACACTTGTATTCTCCATAGAATATTGTCCTACGCACATACATATATGTACATTATATTTTATCATTTACGGAGTGGAGTATTATACGAAGTATATCACATATACACAAATTCTATTTGTACGGATCGTACGTCTTTACCATTTATTTATTTATTTATTTATTTTAAACATCTATAATTAGCTTTAAAAAATGAAAAATTGCTGAAATTAAAATAACTGTAAAACATGTAAAAAGCCAGTTATAAAACTACTTATACTTTGTTTACAAAATAGAACTTAAATGTTTTAATAATAGATATACTCCAACATTATTAAAAGACATTTTTTAATACTCCCTCCGTCCCAGAAAATTCTTCCAACTTTCCTTTTTGGGACGTCCCAGAAAATTCTTCCAACTTCACCTTTTTTTATTATTTGTGTGGCTCACATTCATTTCACCTTTTTCTTACACAACTACAACCACACATTTCCACTTTATTCCCACTTTCTTAAACTCCGATCCAAGTCAAACTAGGAAGAATTTTCTGGGACGGAGGGAGTATATGACTTCAAATACATGAATTGAAGAAGGGAAACTAACATACTCCAATATTATTAAAAGACATGTATTTTTTTATATATGACTTCAAATGTTATGTTTTTTCCAACGGTATAACTGAATTGATAATGAAAGAATGAATTCAAGTGAAATATGGAAGTGACTAAGAAATAGAAAGAAACATTCAAATGCATGAAAAAGGATGTCAGCATGCATCAATAATTTAGGAAAAAACATGCTATATCCGTTCTCTTTTAGTTGCAACATTCGAAAAATTGAACTACTCACATATTCAACTTTGATTATATTATTTATTAATGTACTAGGTAGTACTGGTATAAATTAAATTTTTGAAAATTATTGTTAAATTCCTCTCATTTTAAATTTTTAAAATCCGTTTTTTTGTTTTCTACTAATAAGAAGTGAAAGATATTAATGATCAAAATTGTGCATTGATACATGTAATTAGTGGACCATTGCAATTTTAAAAAGCACGAAGGAAGTAATAGATCATATATTAGGAGTAATATTAGCTATAGGTAATTTTCTCATTAAATAAATGTATGTCTATACAATTATGAATGTGTGGCCGGTGTGGCGGTGTCTCCTTGACATGTACTCCATTCGTCCTATAAAATCTGTCCAACTTTCCTTTTTGGATCATCTTAAAAAACTTTTTCATTTTCTCTCAAAATAAAGAATGTGTGGATGATATTATTTCTCTCTTTTACACCATCTCAATCATATTCGATCCGAGTAATTTTAACTTTGTACTTTGAGTGAGGTCGGGAGTATGTATTTCGATTAATTCCATGGCATCATTACGTATGAGTGTGGTTAGTTAGTGTGTCTGTGTACAATACTCCCTATGAGATGATGGGAATTTTTTTAAACAAGACAAAAACATGTCTTAAGTGCATAAATGTGATTATCAATGTTTTATTCTTAAAATATGACTCATTCACTACTATTTGAGTAAGTTTTAATCAAGTCATTGTTTTCATAGGACTAAATAAGTCATATTTAGAAAATAAAACATACTTAATCCTGTTTTTGAACTTTTGGTATATGTTTTAGTAGCAATTCTTTTTATGAAAGCATATGAACAACGTAACTTATGATGATTATAGTCGTATACGTACTGGTCTCTTGTAGGGTCATTGAAGTCATTCCAACCTTCAGGAGCAACGATATCTGTCATAAAGGTCTTAGAAAAGACGACGGTGGAGAAGGGACGCCATGCACGGCCGAGCCAAATCCTGCCGGTTCCGCCCAAGGTGCAGTTCACAAAGGCAAATCCGCTATCCTCGTCTTTGGAAGATCGGCCGTGCGCCGTCACTGCGCCATTAACTGACCTTACGCCTTGGGTTACTGGGCTCGCAATGGATATCAACTCGCAATTCTGCATTTGTGGCATGCATGCGTTATTAGAAAATAAAAATACTACCAATCTATCATCAACCAAATTTTCCCTCATAGTTATTCCTAAAAAAGAGTAATTATTGAAAACTTGAAAATTGCTACTTGCTAGCTAGTATCGTATTTTATGAGACGAAGGGAATATATTGATACGAACATATTTATTTTTTAATTAGACTGAAACTTTCTGATTTTATTAAGTTTGATTTTATCTCGTTTAGTCTATTTAAGTTTGATCGTATCTGATTTCTGCGTATTTTATAACTATGAAAGTTTGATATGATCTATTTACAACCGGTGTTAACTGTTCTGATTTAGTCTATAAAACATATTTTTTGTATTCACCCATTGATCGATCTTTTTTCGCCAACTTGTTACATGTGCATTTGATTACATGTTTACCCTTTAATCTTTGACATTAAGCCACAGGGGCGGCCCTAGGGGGGTGCAAGGGGGGCGGGCGCCTTAGGCCAAAAAAAAATTGATAAAAAATAGGCCCAAGTTTAATTCTTTGGAATAGGTGTGAGTTGGCTCATTTTCCCGCGCTACAATAACAATTTTTTTGTGTGGAATTTGTTGAAGTTATTCGGAATGGATTTTTTGGGTCAAAACTTATGATTATGTTCTCTATGAAGTGTAGATTATGTTAAAAAAAATCAGCTTAAAGTTCAATTTAGAAGTCAATTATTGAAAAACACTGTGTTTGTATACATATTTTGGTGCACTTTTTTTCAATAATTTATAACTGACTTCACGGTTGAATTTTAAACTGAAATTTTATGGACATAATCTACACTTGATGAAAAACATTCTCTTAAAATTTCATAAAAAAAATCACTCAAAAGCATATTAGTGTCATATGATTATTTGATTAGTTTATTAATTGATTCTATTCATAGTTGATGGTTTGATTTCTTAATTCTTGATTGTTTTGTATTGAGTGTTGGTGTTATAATTTGTTGATTTTGTTAGACAAACTTTTTTTATTATGATAAATGTTATAAATTTAATTAATTTCAAGGTGTAATAAAAAGAATCGAATCTGAATGAGATATATAAAAAGAGGAGAAGATTAGAGAAAACGGCGCTAAGTAAAAAAAGTTCAATGGAAAAGTTTATTTGTGTAAAGAAGTCACATTCTGAATGTCCAGATGTCCTCTTCAAGATGAGAACTCATAAAATAACAATAATTTAGCTACAAATAATGAAACGATTTAGAATGATTACATCATTGGAGGAAGAATTTAGGAAGTGATAGTAATAGATTTATTTCCTTAAATATGACTTAAACATTGATAAAATGTACAAATAGGATCACCATTGTTTTCTTCTAAATTATTATGCATGTCAGTTAAAATAGAAAAGAGTTCTACAATTTTTTGTAACATTAGGCCCGTTTTAATAATTCGCCCCTAGGCCTTCGAACATAAAGGGCCGCCTCTCCATTAAGAGTATGTTTGTCACAACTAGCTGAAAAGAAACTTTTGTGTACTTTTTAGTAACTGTTAGCTTTTACTTACCGAAAAGATCTTAAAAGAAAAATGTAGTAGTTGCTCGATAAAAAGATGATTGTTTGATTTATCTCTATTTGATATACAAGTTGAGACAATTATTAATAGAAGCTACAAACTTATCTGAGATGCTACTCATGTAGCATATAAAAAAACTTTTACTTTTATAGAAGTTTTTAAAATGAGCATGCCAAACATACAAATCTTTATATCTTTATATAATATAAAGTAGCAAAGTTGCTACTATTATTGGAGGGAAAATTCCCGCCCAAATTAAGGGTGTATATAATTAAGAACGTAATGGGAAATTTATGTAAAATGTATAACTGAAATCTTGCCCGTCCATGAAAAGCATCGTATGAAAATGAAATTACGGTAAGATTGGAGCATTTATTGGCCAATCTTAAGAAAGTATGGTAAGATATACGTATAAGAAAGTATGGTAAGATATACGTAGTATAATTTACTACTACATGTAATACACCCTATGTTGATTAAACACGTACTCCTAAAGTTATACACATGTCACATATATGTATATGGTAAGAAATGTATTTGATAACATGCGTGTCACATATATATGGTATGAAATGATTTTTAATCGACTAGCAACTACCAAGTAATTTCAAGTGCTTCAAAGTCTATGTAAATACATCTTCATAATAAAATAATTTTCAATTTATCTTAAAATATATTTCCAAATGATTAAATAATTTTTCTAATTTTCTAAATTTTATAATAATCAAACTACTAAATTGGTATGAATGTTTAGTTTTATTAAACTTTCTAACCCTCTCTTAGAGTGCTATATTGACTAAATCTGCTGAATTGTGAAAAAACTATATTTAAATACATTTTATTAATAAAATAAAGAAAGAATATATGAAAATGATTAAAATGGTCTTTTACAGTATGTCTAACCAATTCAGCCAAATTAGTAAATGCAACCTTACTTATTTTGATTACTATACAATTTAGCGCGTGAAACCAAAAGTTATGCTTTTAGTAAAAAAGATTGGTTGATAAGGTTAACAAGCTAAAATTGGGTTTACCAAACGGGTTGTAGATATAGTACTACATTTGTCCCAAATGTAAGGTATATGTGGGTTTGGTGTGTGTATTAAGAAAATAAATGATAAAATGATTAATTTAAAATTGTAACACTCAAAAGTAAGAAAGAGCACGATGTGTCCAAAAAGAGTAACAAATATACTACCTCTGTTCTTTATTATTAGTCCCTCTAGGCTTTGGCACGAGTTTTAATAGGAAAATAGTAGGGTAAGTAGTGTGTAAGGTAAATGTTAAAGTAAGAAAGAGAGTATATTAAAAAGAGTAAAGTAATGATAAAGTAGGAAAGAGAGTGCATTAAGAAGAGTAAAGTGATGGTAAAGTAGGAAAGACAAAGTAGTTTGTAAAAAGTAAGTGGGGTAAAAGTAATAAAAGTGGAGATATTTTCTCAAAAACTTTCCTTAAATGGAAAGGAGGACAATTAAAAAAAACGTCCCAAAATGAAAAGGAGGACTAATAATAAAGAACGGGGGGAGTAATGAAAGATAAATGGATAAAGTGAAAAAACAAAAAGTTAGTGAAGTTCAATTTAAAAAGTATTCATATTGTTTTAGACAATTAATTAAAAATGAAATGTATCTTACAACATGAAACAGAGAAGAGTGTATATTTTATTTCTATCTCTTATTTTAATTTTGTCTATTATAAGTGATCTATGGAAATGGAATTATAAAATAAAACTGAAATAGAAGTCAATACAAATACAAATAAATAACGTTAATGGAAAATTAAATATTTGATGTAGAACAAATTAATTTGTTTTATACACTTAACAATAAAAAGAGAATATTACCCGAAATAGGACTAAAAGGTTTGAAATTTTCAAAATAGGACTGTCATGTTTTTATTCCCAAAATAGGACTAATTATTGTCACGTTTTGGCAGTACCAGACTTCAAACATGCCGGTATTTTCAAACTGTTTTAATCCTATTTCAGGAACTTTTCCTAATAAAAATTGTGAGGTTTAGACTGCATCAAAAGAGTGCCAGTATAATGATTAACTGTACTGGTGCCCACTTCAAAGGTAATGGGTTACGATGGCTACAGACGGATATGGAACACGTATGTATAAATCTTAATCTTCCAATTACCAATACATACTAAAGCATAAATTACTTTCTCCTGTGCAGTAAATGTAATTTTCTTCATTTTAACTATATCAATTTAATATGGGTATCTACCAATGTATTGTATATGTACACTACAATACATTCATTGTCCAATGAGCAATTTTTAGTAAAACAAGCTTCAATCTGAGTAACATTTTAACAAGCATATCACCAATATATATAAGAAATTATTATATTTGAATAATGTTTGGTTAAGGCGATCACCGATCTTTTCAAATCACATCCCAGTTCATGAATGTTGATCTTTAATATAGAAGAGATTCTATGATAGGTTTGAAAGCATAACAAAAAACATATGATAGATTATATGGGACTTGGATCCACGGCCCATGCACCCTTAGATACATAACGGGCTCAAGCCCGTCACACTACTAAAGGCCTCTCAAACAAGTCCGGTCTAAAATTAAAAAAAAAAAACTCTCTTTCCATATAGTCACCTCAGGGGGCATCACCTTGGTGATGACACCTTGACCATAGAACCCAGATAGTCACTCACAAACTAGGACAACACTAGACCCGAGGTGCATCCCTACACCTCAACCATCATCACCTCGACCCACAAATTAAAGAACACTTTGGCAGAAGTCAGTCAAGAAATGGCACACGTTAATTTATGCTATGTTACATGACTATCGCCAATAGATTAGGCGACATGTGTAGTGCATTTAACACGAGCTCTTTCTCTCTTTGAATTTTAACTCTCCATTCTCTCTATTATATCACTAGCGGTTACCAGTAAACTATTACCGGACTATACTATTCTTTTATATTCATAAAATAACTACTTACTCCCTCCGTTCCGTAAACAACTTCCCACTTTCCTTTTTGGGCAGTCACGAAATTAACTTCACACTTCCATACTTTCCTTATTTATTAGCAAATTATCTACATCAAAACAATGCCAAACAGTGTCCAGACAGTGTTGAAATAGTGCAAAACAGTGCACTCCATAGTAAAGTCAAATTTATTTCCTTAACCTGTGTGAAGTTAATTGCGCGATAGAGGGAGTATTATGTACATTAAAATAAATATAATTTCAAGCAAATTGTTGTTTTGCTCTAGATGTACCCGTGCATCGCACAGGTATTTCGTCTAGTAGAAGTTATAAAAACTTTATAAATAATACAAAAGCTAAAGAGATAACTTATACACGCCAAACATACCCTAATTCTTATATGCTATCGGTATGTAGATCGTGCGTGTTCATAATCGGCCATGATTAGAAGTCAGAGGCAGCTGAAGAATTTATTAGGAATAATTTTTTAAATTTACCTCGTACAAGGATTTGGCATTGCCAAAAATGAAGTCAATTGAGCCTTGAATATAGCAATCTTTAAAGTAATGTCTTCCTCTGTCATCGTGCAGTGTATCTTGAGCTCCAAAGAAGCCGCAACCAATGAACGCCGCTTGGTCTCCGGCGATTCTCATGGCTACTGCTTGAGCTCCTACCGCCCCTGGCGTCGGCATCGGAGCAACATTCTGTACATACGGCCGTTAACATTTAATTATACTCCGTATATTTTTTGGCACAAATTATGGTCCTAGGAATTAATTCTACTTTTGGTCCTACCCGTTTTGTGTAAATTTCATCTTTAATCCACATCTTTCATTTTGTCCACTTTTGGTACTTGACTAATATTTTTCAACCATTTGTGGTTCTTTCCCGGCAATTTTAACCATCCAAAACAATGCCGGGAGCACCACATATATGCGAAAACATAATAGTCATGTACCAAAAGTGAACAAAGTGAAAGATGTGAACTAAATTTGGAGTTGACCTAAAACTCGCAGGACCAAAAATTCCACAAATTATACTCCCATCCCGACGATCCGTATTAATTAACTACACCTACAAATTCTCTCACCATTCTTGTACCGACTATAACTTTCAATATCGACTGAATCATCTGATTCTGCTGAAATTTATGAATTTCTCGCTGAAGTGGTTGCATTGGCTGATTCTGTTGATTTATGAAAAAATTATATTTAAAATATAATTTATTAATAAAATATAAAAAATGTTATATGAAAAATAATTAAAATGGTCCCCTGCAGTAATTTCAGCCAATACAGCCAGGAAACTAAGAGGTTGTTTGGCAACACTGTTTTTTAGCTTATCAGGCTTATCAGCCAGTTTTTCCACCAAACACATAATTTTTCCTTTCGCGCGCTGAATTGTGTAATAAGCAGAAAAAGTAAAGTTGGAGTTACTTTTCTGACCGTATTGGCTAAAGTTACTGTAGATTACCATTTTAGCTATTTGTACATATATTGTTTTCTTTATTTAATTAATAGAATATATTTTAAAAAATAAGCAGAATCAGCCAATGCAGCCACTTCAGCAGAACTTCATAAATTTCAGAAGAATCAGCCAAAACAGCCGATTTTCGTGCTACCAAACAGTCTCTAGGTACAACCTTACTTTTTCTTATTATCACACAATTAAGCGCGTGGAATCAAAATATACGTGTTTGATGAAAATATTGGATGATAAACCTGATAAGTCGAAAAACATCATTACCAAACGAACTTGAGAACACTAAAGTGACTAAGAGTACACATGTTTGTTATTACCTCCCACTCTAGAGTTTCCTTTTTAGCTGTTCCAAAAAAAATTCATTTCCATTTGAAAAACAAATATGTGGTTAAAATTATTTACCCTCCTCTGTGCAAATCCCATACACAGATTTTATTTCATTATGCTATGCGCAATCAACTTTGGTTGAGTTTTATGGGACGGGGAATATCTTCTTTTTCACTTACCATAAAACTTATGTTCTTGGCGATGAAGTTGTCTGAGAAAACTTGAACGGAGCCACTATAAAATGTGCCCCCAGAAGAATTGGCAGTGCCATTCCAGAGGATAGCTGTCGTCATGAAACCTTGGCCCTCAAAGGTGATATTTGGTTTCCTTTTCGGAATATTAACTCTTTCACTGCATGAATTCATTAGTTTGGTTACGTTATTATATGTGTACAGTATATATACTACGTGCTAAATGCCTAAATATAAGAAAAAATGTTTCTTAGGTACACAAATTATTTGTCAAAAAAAGTACACAAATTATTAAACACGTATACTTGCACACTAGTTGCACACACAAACTAAATACTTCGTATAAACAATTCAGTGAATCGAATTCGATTAAAAGACCACTTACACGCGTTTTAAGTTTTATTTTTGAATTTTGTCTATGTTTCGTTATTGAGCAATTCTACATAAAATGTGGTAACTTACAAATACAAGCCCTTGTTGATCCATACCAAAGTCCTCATTGCGCTAAAGTTTCCAATGGAGTCCACCGCGGCCTGCACGGTGGTGAAGTCGCAACAGCCGTTGGGGTCGACGCATATGAGGGACGTGGTGTTAGGATCAATGACAGGAAAATCAGGAGAGAAGTCGTCACAGATGGACGTTAGGGTTTCATTTTTGTGGCGGCGGTGATGGCCGCCGTAATGAGGGGTGTTGTGAGACAGCAAGTGTGATAGAAAACCACCTCTAGACATTTTGATGAGTTGCATTGGAAGGTTGATGAAAGGTTTGGATACCAAAACAGCCATCAAACAAACGAGAAGTGCACTAAACATACGTTTAGAAATCATTCTTCAATTTTGGTATATATGTATAGCTATATGAAATTTGGGCCGCCAGTACGTAGATATAGACCGTAATATGGAGATTGCATGTCTTGCAATTTACCCAAATGGTTTATTTTCTCATTGAGGCAAACCCTCACATGCACTTGCTACCCAACTTGTTGGAATAGTTAATTTTTATGTATGCACGATCCTCTTATTTAATTACTTAATTGCATTCTTGTGATGTTTTCTAAGTGTTGCTTATAATATTCTTTTATGTGAATATATATTTCGTACAACATCCAAACAAATCTAGAAGACATATAGAGAAGTGCAATATACGAAGTACATTATTAAGTTAGTACGTACAGTTTGCGACATTGTCATTCACCGTATTTACTTACTTCTACAACAATGAATTTTCTATTCACAAACTCACGCCGAATATAGTGCAAAATATAGGATTGTATTAGGTGTGAGATCAGTTCAATCTTGTCCAAGTCGTTGGATTCTACATAAATCCCTTTATTGCCCGCCCTACCTTCATCACAGTTTGTGGGTAATCAAAAAGGTAAGAGGCCCACTATAAGTTGTTTTTATAAGTTGTTTTGGCTTGGATCGGTCGCTAAATATCTGAACACAAAATTCTACTCAGTATATTTTTAGGATATTTTGAACCTACTTTTATGTTTCACAAATACAAATATCAAACTTTATTTCACGTAATAATCACGTAAACAATCATTAATTCGAACAATTTCAAGTTTCAACATAAAATTTAACAAAGACAAAGATGGTCATAATTGATATTCCCCCATCCCAATTTAATTGTCCCATTGCCGTTTATGAGGGTTGATCGATAATAAATCAAACGAATCTCCATATATACTCAAAAACTACATTAAAAGCTTTACATGGTCGCAAAAAAATCAAATTTGATAAAAGTCTGATATATAAAGTAACAGATTAAGAATGGTCTGCATTTAAGAAGTGAATAAGAAACATGACTATCAAATTAGGATAGGATGGAGGTAGTAACAACTAAACATACATTCCAACACAAAGTTCTAAATAATCAAAATTCAAAATAACTTCTAGAACAATCATAAATGAAAAAAAATATACAAATTAGTTGACAAATACTTGATGAAGAAGGCAAAGTAGTTGTGTGATGAAAAATGGACGTTGAGAATTAATGAAGATTGATTTTGCAGAATAATGAAGTGGTCAAGTGCCTAGGTTCTTGAAAGGCTTTCACGCATGAATAATTCGATAACACATGGATTTGACGCATTGTTTAAATCATACATGGCTAATACGCCCGAATTTATATATTGCAAGGGAGTTTGATGCATTAAACACATCTAATCTCCTCTGATTATTAGTTATTCGTGTCGTTAGTTTATAAATGAGCATTGAAACATTAAAGCTGTTGAAGTCTCACAACGATTAAATTTGAAGAAATAAAATGTTTATTATTAAGATCTTATGTTACTCATCATATTGGGTCTTAACATGGTATCAGAGTCAAACTACTTCATAATGAATGGAAGGACTCCTATGAAACTAAAACTTTGAACTAGTTTAACTTTTATGAGGGATACTCGGATCTTAATTAAGAGAAACATTGAATTATCAATTATGCACTAAAGCATACCAACGGAAATAAGCTTGGTACGGAGTATTTTATTACTTGTCTTCGTTAGAAAGGAACTAGGAAGGCGCAGGTGTGTAAATAAAGGTAGTAGCTAGTTAGATTGATAGAAAAAGATATTGACGTTATGGGATGAAGAATTGAAGAAAGCACAGAGGGGCGAGGGGTGCACAAAAAAAAGTGTAAATGAAGGAATTTAAACTTGGAAGTTACATTTAAACTTCTGGCTCGATCTGCAAGTTGCAATGCCTAGTTGCATGGGGTGCCGTACGGGTCCAATGCATTAAAATTTGCTCATCTGGTCTGATATGCTTTGTTTAAGTTTGGTCTGATCTGGTCTGGTTTAGTCTGAACAGGTGTGGTCTGGTTTAGTCTGAAGTGGTGTGGTCCGGTTTGATAAACGCATGGTCTTTGAGTATTTTATAACTTAGAAATTCAGGTATGACATAGTCGGGTCTGGTCTGATCTGATTTGTTTAAGTTTGGTTTGGTCGGGTCTGGTACTGAAAGCCGTCCAAGTAAAACATCCTACATACGGCAATAATCTCACATGATTAATTAATTGAAGATAGTTGGCTTCTATTTCATTCTAATTACTACGGGTAATTTATTTTTTACTATTTTCAACTTTATACAAAAAAGGGCAAGAAATATGTTTTTTAGGATGTTTTTACTTCGACTGTAATTTGCTGGTCTGGTTTGGTCTGAAATGGTCTGGTCTAGTCTGGTAAGGTCTGGTTTCTTTGTATTTTTATAACTATCCAAGTCTGGTCTGGTCTGAACTGGTCTGGTCTGGTTTCTTTGTATTTTTTGTTGGTATTGGCCCTTGTTTTTTCCTTAAGCCCAAATACCTATTTGTACCCGACCCGGTCTTTGGTTGAACACCCGTTGAATGGCTTTACTCTGGCATCGATTCTTTCCTTGCGTTGCACAATCCTTTCCTTCTCCAAAAATCAGTACGATTCAAACCTTAATCCATTAAGGTAAGTTTCCATCTCTGCTCTTACCGTGTGCCTATTTATTCTTATTCCCTTCTCTGCATTTGGGTGCTGGCCGAAACCTTAATTTCCCCATTTCGAATCGCTGCTCCTCTGTGGGTGCTCGAACAGAGAGTTGGCCGGGAAAGCTTGAAGGCAGATGCCCACATCTCCCCTTGTGACTAAAGTGGTTGATTTTCATCCTTTGTGGGTGAATCCCAACGAGACCTGAGCTGGAAGGAGAACTTACAGTGGTATCAGAGACATCGGAGGTCTGCCGCCGCCACGCCGCCGTCTGCCGCCGCCGTACGCCGTCGCCGGAGGTCCAGGGGTGCTGCCAAGTCGGTCCAGAAGCTTCCAGGGCTCAGAACGGGAGTCCAAGGTGCTGTCCAGAGCATCTGCCAGTCCGGTCCAGACCTACTGCCGCTGCCAGAGAGGTTCTGCCGCCGTCCAGGGAGGTGCTGCCGCCGCTTCAGTCTGCTGCCACCGAGTCTACAGCAGCCCACGCTGCCTACGGTAAGTCGGGTAACCCAACCTCGGGCCCCGCTCAGGTAAATTGGCGTTTAACATCCTTGGTGTACCAGAGTGCCACCGGATTTATTTATTTTCCCCCGTTCCCCGCTGCCCGCTGCTGACCTACGTGGTCTTGGATGCCGGCTGTGTCCGGCCCCTGGTACGTTTACTAATCCTTTGTGTGATTTTTTATTCGTAGTTCATTTGTTTTAATTTCAAGTTGAATTGCTATTTGATTGTTAGTTGAATTGTGATTGCTTGTTGAACCGTGAATTAATTTTCCGGTGAAGAATATTTTGTTTGGATACCCGTTGTCCAAAGTTGTGAATATTTCTTCCGGTTTAAATTTAATCACGTGTTGGATTTTTTATTTTGATTTTTTCTGTTAATTGATTCGTGGATAAACTCTCCGGTTAAGAATATTTGTTTGGATACTTGTTGTCCGAAGTTGGGAATATTTCTGTCCGGATTAGTTTTAAATCCAGTTTCTTTGCTTATTGATTTAATTTTAGCCTATTTGTGCTCGTACGAAAGAACAAGGAGATTGTACCCGAACTTCGTGTTCATCGGTCTTCTCGGCTTGTTCGTGCTAGTTGCTTCGTACAATTGATAGCCCTATAGGTTATAATTAATCATTTATCTGTCTGTTGAGTAAATAAAAATTTTATCTTGCTTATACGAAAGAACAAGGAGATTGTACCCGAGCCTTGCGTTCATTGGTCTTCTCGGCTTGTTCGTGCTAGTTGCTTCGTACGGTACGAAAGAACAAGGAGATTGTACCCGAGCTTTGTGTTCATTGGTCGTCTCGGCTTGTTCGTGCTAGTTGCTTCGTACTGTTATTTGCTTGATAATTTTTTATTTACTCTCTTGCGTGTTGTGCTTGCTTTCCGGTTAATATGGCTGTCAATCAATATGGCATGCTTCCATTTAACGGAAAGACAGATTTTGATATCTGGAAACAGAAAATCAAATGCGTGTTGATCCAACAGAAAGTCTATAGAGCAGTGACTGGTCTCTATTTAGACTCTGAGGATGCTGCTAAGCGCGATGAAATGAATGAAACTGCTTGTTCCTCTATATACCTGAACCTTTCTGATTCAGTACTCAGGAAGGTGGGTATTATAGATTCTGCAAAGGCTTTGTGGGACAAGTTAGATAAGACGTATACCGATACTTCTTTGCCTGGTAAATTGTTTTTGCTTGAGAAGTTCTTTAGATTTAGGCTTGACCTGTCTAAAGACATAGATGAGAACCTAGATGTGTTTAACAAGCTTATTCAGAATATTAAGCAAGCCGGTGATAAACACATAGATGACTACACACCCATAGTGTTACTTAATGCCATCCCCGACTCATACAATGACGTCAAATCTGTCATAAAGTATGGTAGAGATGATATCTCGTTGGATGTAGTCATTAATGGATTAAGGAGTAAGGAGTTAGACCTTAGACACTCGAGGGGTAGTAACAGTCAGTCTAGGGACTCTGGTGAAGCGTTGTTTGTGAGGGGTAGGTCTAAGAGTAGATCTAGAAACCATAAGAAGGGCAACAACGATAAGAACAAAAACAATGACCCGGGGAAGAAGAGAGGTAAGTCTAAGAAGAGAGTGTGCTATAATTGCGGTAATTCTAGTCACTTCATTAAGGATTGTCCCCATCCGAAGAAGTCTGAACATGCTAATGTGGTAGATGATAATAACTTGCATGAAGAAGTTTTTATGATTTGTGATTCTGCCAATTCTGTGTTGAGTAGCATGACTGAAAATGAGTGGTTGATTGACTCTGGTTGTACTTATCATATGACACCTTTTAGATACTTGTTTGCTTCTTATGATTCTTGCAATGATGGTTTTGTGTCTCTTGCTGATAATAAGAAATGCAAAATACATGGGGTGGGTGATGTATGTTTGAAGTTTG